GTCTGGTTCCTACGTCTGTTCCAGTCGCTGCGTCGTGCTCCTTCCGGTCGCTTGCCCACCCCACCGTTCTGTGGCACCACCGGATGGGGCACCCGTCCCTTCCTCGTCTGCGCGCTATGTCCAGTCAGCGTCTTGTCCTAGGCCTCCCACGTGTCTTGCCGTCGCTGCCGCCTTCACTTGCGCCACCGTGTGGTCCCTGCGTCGAGGGTCGGCTGCGCGCCACCCCTCACTCCTCCTCCCTACGTCCGGCCACTGAGCCTTTTGAGACGCTTCACTTGGACGTCTGGGGCCCCGCCCCTCGTCTAGGCCCTGAGCGTGAGCGTTACTTTCTGGTGGTCGTTGACGACTTCTCCCGCTACACCACAGTGTTCCCTCTGGCGAAGAAGTCTGAGGTGACTTCTACGCTGATCAGGTGGTTGCTCACCACCGAGGACACTCGTGGTCGTCGTGTCAGCTGTCTCCACTCCGACCGTGGGGGTGAGTTTCGCTCCGGCATTCTCGCTGGATTCTGTCGCGAGCAGGGCATTCGTCAGTCCTGGACGCTTCCAGAGTCCCCACAGCAGAATGGGGTTGCTGAGCGCCGCATAGGCCTGGTCATGGAGATCGCCCGCACCTCCCTGACTCACGCCTGTGCCCCCCATAATCTGTGGCCCTACGCGGTTAGGTACGCCGCGCACCAGCTGAACCTCTGGCCACGTGTCTCTCGACCAGAGGTGTCACCAACCAGTCTTTGGATAGGGTCCCCTGGTGTTGCGTCGCGGTTTCGCGTCTGGGGGTGCTTGGCTCTTGTCCGCGACACCTCCGCGGACAAGCTCTCGCCTCGTGCCGTCCCCTGTGTCTTCCTTGGTTTTCCTGAGGACTCCTCTGACTTCACCTTTTACCACCCTCCCTCTCACCGGTTCTTTGACTCCCGTGACGTCCGTTTCGAGGAGTCCACTCCGTACTACGTCAGGTACCCCAGTCGAGGTCTCCCGGTTCCTCCTCCCCCCCTCTTCCTGACTGCAGCCCCCCCTCCTGCTCCCCCGGTACAGCCTCCCCCCCCTGGTCCAGCCCCGTCAGGTGTGTCCCAGGCTACCCCTCCTCCTTCGGTAGCCCCTCCGGTACAGCCTCCCTCCCCACAGTCCTCCTCGCAGCGTGCCGTTGGTGCTAGCTCTCGATAGGTTGGTGCTGCGCCTGTTCCTGTACCGGTTTCTGGTTCTGGGGGTGCTGGAGTTGGAGCTGGAGTTGGTGCTGGAGTTGGCACTGGAGTTTCTGGTTCTGGGGGTGCTGGAGTTGGAGCTGGAGTTGGAGCTGGAGTTTCTGGTTCTGGAGTTGGAGCTGTCCCGGTGGGTGCAGAGGACTCTTGTCGTCCGGGAGCTGGTGCTGGTCGCGCGGCCACTGGGGGTGCTGCGTCTGGGGGTGAGGGTGCGCCTCCTTCGGGTTCAGGTGAGCCTGGGTCTGGAGCTGGTGTTAGGGCTGCCTCTGGGGGTGGTGCGCCTAGTTCTTCTGGGGTGGACTCTGGAGCTGCCGCTGCTTCGGACACTACTCCACCCCCCCACCCCTACCCGACTAGGCACCAGGCTCGTGTTCGCCGTGCCCGTGACGAGCAGCTGGCGTTGGAGAGAGAGGAGAGGGAGTTACAGCGGCTGGAGGAGCAGCAGCAGCAGCTAGACCCGCAGGAGCAGCAGTCCCAGCAGCAGCTGCGTCCACAGCAGCAGCAGTCGCAGCCGCAGCAGCAGCAGCCACTTCCTCCTCCTGTCTCGGGTCTTCGGATCCTTGGTCTCCCCTCCCCTTCTCCTCCCTCCTCCGCCTCTCCTCCTGTCTACGGTCCCACGTTTCCTCCTCCTGACTCCTCCCCCGCTGTTTTCCCCAGTTCTCCGCCCTTGTCCTCTTCTCCTCCGTCTCGTTCTTGGGCTACTCGTCGCTCCCCTCGTGCTCGTCCCTCGTCTCCTGTTCCCTTCACTGACCTTCGTACTGCCTTCCTTCTTTCTAGTCCACCTCGTCCGTCTCAATCTGTGCTTCCGTCTCCTCCTGAGTCGGCCCTCACTGTGTCGCTCCCTACTCCTGTCACTGACTACTACCGCATGTACCGTCCTGTTCTCTCTCGTGTTCTCGCCTCTCTTGTTACTCACCCTCGTGTCTCTGTGTCCTCTGTGTCCGCTCTTACTGTCGCGGTTACTGACTTTGCCTCTACCCGCCGCCTTGACTACGCCACCACGCTTGTGACTGCTCCTCCTACCAGTCCTCTTGTCGTCGGGGGTGTGTCTGCCCTTGGCTGTGACGCCCTAGAGGACAGGCAGTTTGAGCTAGAGTTCCTGGCGGCCGCTTCCCCTCATCTCTGTGCCATGCTCCTCGCCCCTGAGGGTGACCCCGACGCCCTTGACATTCCGACTCCTCGCACTTACGCTGAGGCAGTGTCAGGGTCTTGGGCCTCTCAGTGGAGAGCTGCCATGGACGCAGAGATGGCCTCCTACAGATCCACAGGCACCTACGTCGATGAGGTTCCCCCCCTTGGGGCGAACGTAGTCGACGGCATGTGGATCTACAGGGTGAAGCGGCCACCGGGATCTCCCCCGGTCTTCAAGGCGCGCTACGTGGCTAGAGGTTTCAGTCAGCGCGAGGGAGTTGACTTCTTTCAGACCTTCGCACCTACCCCGAAGATGACCACTCTTCAGGTGTTACTACACGTAGCAGCACAGAGAGACTACGAGTTACACTCTCTCGACTTCTCCACTGCTTTCCTTCAGGGCAGCCTACACGAGGAGGTCTGGTTGCGTCGTCCCTCGGCCTTCACTGGCACTTTCCCTCCTGGGACCCAGTGGAGGCTGAGGCGACCTGTTTACGGTCTTCGCCAGGCCCCTCGTGAGTGGCACGACACTCTGCGTTCTACCCTCTCTGACCTTGGGTTCCAGCCGTCTTCTGCCGACCCGTCGCTGTTCGTTCGTCGTGGCTCCACACCGTTCTTTGTTCTGGTCTACGTCGACGACCTCGTTTTCGCCACTCCGGACAGGGTTGCTTTGGCAGACGTGAAGTCCGAACTGCAGAAGAGACACACGTGCACTGATCTTGGTGAGCTGCGCCACTACCTTGGCCTGCAGATCACCAGGGACAGAGCCGCTCGCACCATTACACTCTCACAGTCACACATGGTGCAGCAGGTCCTTCAGCGGTTCGGGCTTCAGCACTCCACCGTACAGCGCACACCTCTCGCTGTTGACCACAGACTCACTGGTCCCTTTCCTGACGAGCCGTTTGAGCCTAGTGGTCCCTACGCAGAGCTTGTGGGTTGCCTCATGTACCTGATGACTTGTACTCGCCCGGACCTCGCCTTCCCTCTCAGCATCCTTGCGCGCTTTGTTGCGCCAGGGAGACACCGTCCTGTTCACTGGACGGCAGCTGTGAGGGTGGCGAAGTACCTAGCGACTACATCAGGCGTGGGGCTAGTTCTTGGAGGGCAGCAGTCTGTCGTACTCACTGGTCACTGTGACTCCTCTTACGCTGACGACGCTGAGACTCACAGGTCTACTCAGGGGTACTGTTTCATTCTGGGTTCTGGAGCTGTTTCCTGGCGTTCCACGCGCTCCTCTTCTGTCTCGACCTCTACAGCTGAGGCTGAGATTTACGCTGGTGCCATGGCGGCACAGGAGTTGCGGTGGTTGACCTTCTTGCTCGCCGACCTTGGTGAGCGGCCGAGCTCTGCACCGACCTTGTTCACTGACAACAAGGCGTCGATCCTCCTCTGTCGTGAGCCGCGACTGGAGAGCAGAGTGAAGCACATTCACGTCAGGTACTTTCTTCTGCGAGAGTTGCAGAGGCGTGGACAGGCTCGCTTCGAGTTTGTGGAGTCCGAGGCCAACACTGCAGACATCTTCACCAAGGCGCTTCCGCCTCGTGACCACCAGAGGTGTTGTGTGCAGTTAGGCCTTGTTGACACAGGTTCTAGTCATGTGTAGGCTTGAGTTTATTGGCTGCTTCGTCTGTACTCTTGCTATATATACTTGTGATCTCTTGGACTGGCCTTGTGGCCACTGTTGCTTGTGCTCAGAGTGTGTGGTGACGTTGTGATCCACCCTGAGCTTTGTTTTCTTTTGGACTGGTCTTGTGACCGTACTCTTTTTGATTTTGCTAGACACCCCTCACTTAGGCTATGGGGGTGTGTCAAATGTTGTAGCCTATAGTGAGGTTTGTCTTAGGGGGTACAGAAGTTAGGGTTTGTTATATGTACCCCAACCAACATCAATGGCACCATCCATTCCTCATTTTGACACTAAGAGCGATGACTTTTTCCTTGACGTGGTGTACTGTATTCTCAACGGGTGCACTGCAGTGCAGTGACACGCTGCTTCGAGATTGTCGAGGAACTTGACCACCCCTTCAACTTTCTTGGCTGTCAAGAAACCATGGATCCGTCAAGAACACCTCAGCAGCTGTAATCGCGATTCGCAATGGAATTGCAACAACTGCCACGCTGGACATCATGGGAGGAATGTCAGGGGTTGGTTGGCAGACGTGGGTGGATTACGGGAATTGCTCTTGACTGGGCACGCACGGTATTATATATAAATCTAGAGCCAGCGACATGGAGGAACCGCTGCCGCGAATATTCTATCGAATGGATTTCGACATGACATCCAATCAAATGGCAGCAAAACATAGCTGGAAATAAATACTATCTGCAGTGAAACCTTCGAGTAATATTGGTTTAAAACAAGAATGCATAATAGTGAAAACAAGGTAATGCCCCTAACTTACCAAAGATCCCTGGTGTGGTGTCAATTTTTTCATCATAAGGCCATAGAATCAATCATTTATGACCCCTAAAATACAATCAGGCTGGTAACAAACTACAGCTTTCTTTATTTTGTCAATTGGGTTTGGGCTTATCCACTTCCCAACCTGCATCACCAATCTCTACAACCACCCACCTTCTAGCTAAATCAATGAAAACGGTTCTCCAGTTCGTAAGTGCTATTCACACGAACGGACGGTTTCTTGTACCAGTCTGATTGTACCCATTACAATCAGAAATTCAACCGTCGCGGCAGCCACCTTCTCTCGGTTCCGCTCCCCCCTTTCCGCAGCCCTCCCCCAGGAGCTTTCCCCGCGCACACCCCCTCCGCAGCGCCATTCGCGCTGAGCCTCCGCTGCCGCGACAGCGCGCGCTCCTCCTCCACTTCCGCAAACTCGCGGCAAATCTCCTCTAGCGCGCGCTCTAACACCGCGCATTCCAGCGCAAACACCACCTGCGGAACCTCCGCAGCTGCCACTTCCTCCGCGGTCCAGCGCTCCGTTCCGCGGACCATGTCCCTCCTTGCCGCGTCATCCAGAATGTCGTACACGTCATCCGACGGGGCAACCGGCCAGCTGTGCACCTCCGCCCATACGCGCTGCAGCAGCTGGCGGCCGATTGGGCGCGGGCGGAGAAGCGCGGGCTTGCGCGAGGCGGAACAGCACGACGCGAAAAAAGACGCGCCGTTATCCAATTCCCAGAGGCCATAGCTAGTATTAGTAGTATCTGCGAATAGCTGCGACGGCCGACCCGAGCAGCGATTAATCGCATCTTGCACTTGCAGCTCCTCAAGATACGGCGCGAGAGTGCGGCCTAGCGCCTCGTTGACCGCATCAAATAACAGCATGCGCTGGCGGCGCTCCTCCGACGTGTTCTGCGCGCCGACGGCGAAGCTGGGGAGCGGAAAGAGCGACGGAGACGGCGGGCGCGAAACCCCCGCGCCAACTGCACCAGCAGACGCGCCTGTTGCTGCTCCGACAGTGGAAGAAGCAACTGGGCTTGTTAGGCCTATTAACGAAGGGCTTGTACTGGATAACGAGGACGCGGATAACGAGGACGGAAAGTGCTGGGACAGCTGTCCCGTGATCTCAAACTCCAGTTGCTCGAAAACCACCGGGTTTATCGGGAGATTGCGCGAGAAGATTGGCGGCACTGACGACCCGCCAAAACCGGAGATGAGGAGCACGTGTCGCACGTACTCGAGGTCCTGCTCCATGCCTGCCACGTCACCGACGATGTCCTGCGGCGACAGGCGGAGGAGGTCCACGGCGACGTCGCCATGTTGGCTGGGCGACGCGAGCGACGCTTGCGATGGTCGCCGCAATGCGGCGGTCGCGTCTGGGTAGCACTCTGAGACGGAGTTGACGGAACGATCTGATTGAAAAGGGGAAGCGAAGAGAAGAAAGAGGAAATGGTGAGGCGACGACTCGTCGGATGTGTGCTGAGCAGAGGGAAGAGAGTAAATTGGGAATCACGATATGAATGTTGGAAGAACGCAACATGATTTTCTGAACAGAAAACTAAGTCAGTTCGTTATGCAAGAGCAGTCGTAACTCACCAGCGAATAACTCGCCACTGTTGCCTTCGGAATCGCTCTCGTCGCTTCGTCGCATGCCCACATCCAGCACCGAAACCGGGCTGCCCTCCTCTCGTCGCACGACCATGTGCGACAGCTGCGACATGTCCTTCGCCGGCGTATGATGGCCCGCGTCTGACTCAAATTCATCGCCATGATGCGTCGGCAGAGGTCGCTCACCAGAGGAGGCTAGAGCAGGCTGAGGGTAGGAATGGCAACGCGGAAATTAAAACACGATGAAGTACGTTGGTGGAAGGAGTGACGGGCAGGGAACATAAATTATACTCGTAATCAGTCATCAGTGAACCCAGCAAATAAACATGACACTCATAGCTTGAGACCTGAACCTCGTCCTGCTCACCTTGGACAATAATCTCGCATCCGAATCCGCACGACCAGCACCAAAACCACCCACGGGTCTCTCTGCCTTCTTCGCTCGCCGCTCCCTCTCCGCGTCATCCGCATCACGGCTCTTGAATCGATTCTCCTGTCGGCCGCTGTCTTGCCGCGGCGAGCGCGGACCACCCCCGCCCCCAGAATTTCCGCAAGCGGCACCAACGCTCCCTCCGACAGCAGCGCCACACGAGTTCCGCGCGCCCACTCCGCCGCGTCCGCCCTTCGCGTCCCCCCGCGTCGCATGCTCGCGCGTGTGTTCGCCACGGTGACGAGCATTACTAGTGCTCGAATCAACCGCCTCTGCAACCTTCACCCTACCGCCACCACCTCCGCCGCCGCTCACGCCAGCGCCAGACTTGCTCAGGGAAGAAGGGCCACGGTGGGTAGTCGCGTTCTGGACGAGAGGCTGTCTCTTCGCTCCGGTAACCGCTAAGCGCGGAGATCGAGGCGACCGCGGCTCGGAGCTAATCACCGACCATCGCGGCGAGACTGGCGGGGAGCTAACAGGAGTTCCTCTGCCGTCCTGCTGCCGGCTTAAGCGAAGCGCGAGATTCTCCGAGACGTCGGAGCGGCGCCGGCCGGTTGCAGCACGGGGGGATGCGGGTGGGGAAGCGTGCGGGGAGGCGCAGGCGGAAGGGGAGGGGGAAGAGAACTTGGAGTGGTTGGCTGCGGGACGTCTCTCCAAAGTCATTCTCTCGGATGCTGACCGTGGCTTTTCATGCCCGTTGGTAACATCGCTGCCGCTTCGCCCTTTCGCGAGGGTCTTCGCGAGGGAGGATTTCGTCGGGGCGAAAAGTCGGCTAGTGGAGCTAGAGGTCGCTGGTTTCTCGCGTTTCGCGTCTTTCTTTAATTCCACTTGAGACAAATCAAGCTCGAACAGGTCTGTACTGTCATCCTCTTCCGCGTGAGCTTGACGGATAGCCATGTCTGGGCTACGGCAGGCCCTAAGACAGGCGGGAGGAAGAGAGGCAAAAACAATAGCAGATCACACTAGCTGTAATGATATCACTTGCTCTGACTGCTTCGACGGGAGCGAGAAACAGGCAGATGATGTGGGACACGTTTCTGACTTAATCTCTCCCCGTTGATTTGCGTATTCGATGTTGACCAGCCTTCTCTAGGAACTTGCAGCTAGAATGATGTTCTTGGACAACGTCCGAATGGAGAAGTGCGAGAGAGCATGCGTGTAAAGGGCGATGACAATGACTGGATGTGGTTTCGTAAGGTCTACTGCTGATGATGTCCTGTCGAAGCGGAGCCTTGGGTTGGTAAGTTGAACGAGAAGCCCACAGAACGAGAAGCAGAGGGGGCCGAAATGGGCGCACGTTGAAAGTCAATTGCAATGGAGGGACATGCGACGCGACGCGACACCAAGAGGAGGTGAGTGCGAGGGAGCTGTAGATGGGGTGGAGAGATTTGGAGATTGTGCATGCAGTTTGGCTGCCGCCGGACCGCGGATCAAGTCCCCGTGGACATGTCCCCCCCAAGTACAAGCCCGCGTTGCCTTGACAGGTCGCCACGCCAAATGGACCGTCAAACACGGATGAACGAGTCATGAGCGGACGTGAGTAAATTTGGGGGGAACCGAAAGCCCGCCACCATCCTCAAGAACCGAAATGGGACCGCCTCACGAATGTTGGGGGGGCCTTTAGCGATAAGAGACATGTCAGTCAACTTCTCGCCACACTGCAAGATATCGCAAATCATCAAGCGAAAATGGGTTACGACGTCATACTGAACGTTCGCAATTGCGAGGCTGGCTTGTTGCGCGTGAACCGTGCTCGCTTGAGGAAATTCATTGGCGGCAGATTTGGAGCGGGCAGCTTCGACCAATCCCAAGGTTGAGATCGCAAGGCGTACAGGAGTGGAAACGGAAGTCCGCCGATCAACTAATAAAGAGGATGTGACCATGGCTATAAAGGAGAAAATCAATCTCAAATATAGCCAGATTAAAATTGTTGGGAATAATAAGTCTTAAGCGCCTCTGTCGTGTCGAAACTCAGGACACTAGCGAAGCAATCCGAATCGAAGCATCGCGAGTCAACCCTCGGAGGTTAGGGTAACCGCCTGGAGGTTACGAGAAGGTCAAAGGTCAGCGACCTTTGACTTGACAAATACAGCGCGACAGCAAGGACACACAACTGACTCGACATTGAGCAGTTGCCCGAGTCGCACTGTATCGAATCGCAACAGTAAAACGGTTTTAACTTATCTATTCGTATTCCTTGTACTCTTATAAAAACCTCTGTATTTGCTTGTTTAATTAACTTACTTTGCCCTCACATACTAGCGCAAGGTGGTTCAAGTACTTTCATTCAAACGCTTCCGCTACTACAATTCTACTCAGACTTAAAACTCTACAAAGATCCTAGGGCACTTCAGCCCAACATGGTATCAGAGCAGTTAGAGTTTTAAAGTTGTTTTCCTTTTAACACTCAATACAAGAAGACATGTCTGCAAGGAAGGAGAGGAGCTCCTCCAACGGCTCTCCAGGCACTACTCCTACTCCACCTCCTGTCTCTGGTCTACAGACAGAGGAAGGGACTACCACGAGACCAGCAGCTGGGTCTACGGAAACGCCCGCAGGTTTCGGCCCAAGCATGATGGAAAAGTTCTTCTCCTTCATGTCCTTCTACGAGCAGCACCAGCAAGGAGCACCTGCGCAATCAAACAACAGCAACAACAACAACAACGTGACGCCTATGAGTCTCGATGGCTCATCCTACGCACGCAGGATTCAACAACAACAACAACAGCCTACCTTTGCGTCATACGAGCCCCAGCGTGGCTCCGTCAGCTTCATGCCGCAACCGCAACCTGCACCAGGACAAGAAAGGGCATTGGATGCGTTACAAGTTCAATCGCGATTCGCGCATGTCTTAAAACTACAAACGACAAAACCTTTCGACGGCAAAGATTTCTTCACCTGGTCGTTCGAGTTCGAACTGATGATGGAAGGAGCACAGATTCTCGGCTTCTTCGACGGGTCCCTGCCATATCCAACGAACGGGACGCAATATGAGAAGCAGCAATATACTTATCAATCGATGATGGCGTACACGATACTGCTGAGGAACATCACCCCGACCCAGCAGCAGAACATCAGGACTTACCGAGGCTACGGCAACTCCGCGGAGCTCGCGTACAACCACCTGAAGAACCTGTATCAAGCAACAGACAGCGTAAATCAAAGCAGGTTAATGGCGCAGCTGACAACGATTGAAATGAAACCAGGCGAGAAAGGCATGGCTTATATCAGCCGCTGTCGCGAACTGCGCGACAAGCTTCTTCGATGCGGCGGGTCGATTTCAGAAGACGCCTTTGTCACGGTGGTCATCGGCGGTCTCGGCCCCCACTGGCGCTCCACTCGCGCCATATTACGAGCACACGGGAGGATTTCCGAAACGGCACTCTGCGCCGAAATTCATGCTGAGCAGCAAGACATGGACCTACAAGAAGAAGACACAAGAAGAAAGCATTAGCACCAGAGTTTGCGTTTCACACTCAGCGACGATACAACGGCAACAACAACCGTCAACAACAAGTAAAGACAGTACCTCCGTTCTGCCACATCTGCAAGACTTCGGGCCATCCTCGCACGCACTGCCCGTCTCGTCAGACAACACCACAGCGACAACTCCGGCCCTCAAGCTCCCAACTTGCTTCAACGCAAGCAAGTCCGACGACCACAATCCAAGCTTCAACGACTTCAACTGGACAACCTGCACAAGGAACAAGAAGCATCGTCAATTGCATGGTGAAGATAACCAATTCGTGCACAACCAAGTCACCACCCCAATACTCACCGGAAGAAGAGCTCGACAACAGGACGCCTCGCCGCGAATCACTCCAGCCGAATCCGACGTACGCCGCCATCGCTCAAAGCGAACCATCTGGCCAAGACACTTGGTTCTTGGATAGTTGCTGCGGACAACACATGTGCTCCTCCGGGCGCTTCGTTCAACGCGAACATCGACTCCAGCGAGAAGTAGTCATCACGGTCGCCAACAATCAGAACCTGCGCACACGACGACAAGGAGCGGTACAGCTTCAGTCACGAGAAACAAGTGTCATATTACACATGTCAAAGGTACTTATCGCGGAGGGACTAGGCTACAACTTACTGAGCGTCAGCCAGTTGATGGCGAAAGGCATCCACTTGGAAGCCGACAGCACCACCCAGGAGTTTAAGTTATACCACGGGAAGGGCGGCCTCTACATCGGAAAAGCAGTGTTGAAGAATAACGTCTTCGTCCTCGATTTCGTCCCCGACCTGGGCACTGCAGACAGCGACGCCATCGTCAACTTCACCGACTGGACTCATCCTCCGGATCTCGATCCCGACTTCAGCCCAGGAGGTTTCTGGTACTCGCACACCATCCCTGAAGCAGAACGAACACGAGCATTAGCAGCGATTCAACAAACGACAGCAGCAGAGACAACATCGACAGCAGCAAAGACAACATCGATAGCAGCAGAGACAACATTGGCAGCAGGAGAGACAACATCGGCAGCAGCAGAACCATCATCGGAAGCAGCAGGACCAACGACACCAGTCATCGAAACACCACCAACACCCGCACAACAGCTGAACCCGACTCAACGAGAAGTCCACCGAAGCGCAAACATCGTCGCCAACTTCTACTCCAACTCTGACGCGTATCAACGCTCACCCGAACATCGCGCTCCTGAAGACATCTGGCACGCACGCACAGGACATCCAAGCAACACGGTGCTAAACAACACAATACGAGCTGGAGTTCTAGACAAGGATTCGCTACTACTACTCGACGGCAGAGAACTTCAACGTGCACGAGGGACTTGCCTCATCTGCCCCGAAGCCGACTTACCCCATCGACCGTTTTCCTCTCACCACAACCCGAGCGCACCTGCATACGCACCACTCGAGAAAGTTTACAGCGACATCCTCTACAATCGAAAACCAGGACAAGTTACCTACAATTACACGATCACCTTCATCGACGCCGCCACTCGATACGTCTGGCATCGCAACCTACCCAGCCGCGACATGGCACTCGCAGCATTCGCCGCTTGGCTACCGGTAGCAGAGAGGGAATCAGGAGCACAACTGAAAAGCTTCCAGTCAGACGGAGGAGGAGAGTACACCTCTCAGCGCTTCAAGCAGTACCTGGCGGAAAGAGGGATCAAGCAACTCCTCTCCCTTCCTTACGCACATCAGCAGCAAGGTGTAGCAGAAAGAATGAACAGGACTTTGCAGAACAGCATGCGCAAACTGCTACGTGGCATGCGGCTACCCAACCACCAGTGGCCTGCAGCAATGGACCATGCTGTCATGCTGCACAACTTGTTGTCGTCGTCGTCACTCCCGAACAACGCCTCACCACATCTGCTGTGGACAGGGAAGCTGGGCAGCACAAGAATGTTACGCGTTTTCGGATGCATGGTACAGTACAGACCCCCAGAAGCATGAGCGGGAAGATTTTCACAACGGGCACAGTGGTGACTATACCTCGGCATCGAGAAACATTACAACGCGTGGAAAATCTTCGACGTCCACACAAAGGAAACAGTAGCAGCACGTGATGTGATCTTCTACGAGCGACTCACCCTTCAGACGTACCTCGCCAACTTGCACGAGAATCGGGACCTCACAGGTGGCTTTCGTGGTGACCGAGCCTTCGCCTCAGCAGCGGACGAAGCAGACTGGGATGAACAGAACGTCGACATCGCATCGGAAGAAGCCGGACCTCTCCCGTACTGCTCCGTCGACGTGCCCAT